GACTGACAGAGAGCTCCTCTAATCATTTTAGCACTGCAAACCATTCCTTCAACTTCTTTCGGCTATCGCAACTATTCAAGTAATGGAGCCAAGTGGTTCTCAAATTGCGCGATTAAATCGCTCGAGTCGCGAAGTATGAACTGAGCACGCTGAATTTCCTAAAAGAGAACAACAATGGGCTAAATGAGCTACCTAGAACTGTACGACTATATGAACTGTATAAATACACTGTGTACCATACAAAAATAAACATGTGGCCCTTGATTAAGTGTAATATCATAGACAGTATAAATACAAGAATGATATCTAGCACTTGAAGAAATCATCGATCGATTCAATTTGCAATACTTGCTTCGAGGGCATGTCGTAGTCGGAAACCTGAAAATGAAATTTGGGGTACCACAGCTTATTCTGGTATTTATTTCTCTTCTGTTGTCCAGGGTGACCTCATTTCCTTAAGCGCGGACAGAATATCCGTTTCCGTTTGGAGAATTAGAATGAGAGTTTCACTTGCGCTATTTGGGGCACTGTTCGGCTTGGGAGGGGCATCATGCACTTTTACTTGTTTATGTTAGCTGGCAAGTTCCATTTTGGTGAGACCTGTAGAATCATGTGAAGCTGCGAAATAACACAAATGAGCCACTTATTTGACAGGAATTCTTAGGTCTTCGCAAGGCGGCCTGTATGAACTTCGTCGAGTACTATTCGATGCCCCCAGCGGAGCTGCGCCGAATATGGCGCTGTATCAGTAAGGCTGCATTCAGGCTTTGTCGCACCTTAACCTTGCCACCGACAGGTATCGATCGACGACGCCCTTAAGTGTTTTGAGAGTATAGGAGAATAGGAAGGCACCGGACAGCGTGACTAGGCGTAATCAAATAGAAAGGTCTGCAATGCGTGGTCACAAAACTAGTCACACGGAACATGTTATTACACTTCCTGTTCTCCTGCAGCCTATCAAAATCCTAGCGGCCAGCACCGATCGATACCCGTCTAGGCTGCGTTCATGCCTATGGTTGCGTTGACGCGCTTTGACTCGCGTTGTAACGCTTCATGACGCGTCGAAGCACGTCATCGCGAGGTCTGAACGCAGCCAAGGCGAGGCGAGGTGGTTCGACAACTTCCTAGGGTCATTTTACCTCGATTTGCGCAGAGAGTTCCTTGAGCCAGAAATACGCTAAGTAACCTTAGAAGGAGAGCACTAAAAGGGACTTCTTCCGAGAAGCTTAGGAACTACCCGCTAGTAATGAAAATTGGAGGAGTTCCGCCATAGGCCTAAAGGCGAGGGGGCCCGGGGGGGGAAAGGACGCGAGCCCTGTGCACGAACACTTTAAACTTTAAGGTGCCGGTAATCACTTATTAGCGAAGACGACTGTCTCAGTTTTTACACGATAGGCCCTCTTAACACACCCTTTCAGGACGCCAACGAGAAATGCTGGGTTTATTTCAGTCATAGGTCCGAAGCCACTAGTTCTCACACCGCGACACAAGCGGCCAATTCGTACAGTCCTCATCGAGTGCGGAGTGGGCGCGCTGTCAGTGCGCTACGTTTGGGCCGCGGAGACCAAAGTCGTATCTGTAACCAGTTGTTGAACGGGCAAGTGATTACTGTATTTATATCCTTCGTATGAATCGTTTTCTACCACTTTTTGTGGCATACGCGTTTCAACAAAAGGCTGAGAAGGGCTTCAACAGTGTGCACCTCATACTGGCTGACACGCCCCACCGGTCCACAATGATGTAGCGAATCTAATTCGGTTGACCACAAACTCGCCTGCACGGACTCACGTAATGCCAGCAGACAGTATTGTACGCCACCGGACACTCGAGGCTTTTAGGCGCTGCGCGTGGCTCGATCCCAGTCAGTTTCCACTCCACTGATCGTGCTCCATCAACTGTGCTCGCCTGGCAGCTTTCACAAGTAGTAGAGAACGGCCCAGCGCCGCGCTGAACCCAACCCTCTTCTCCGCCCCCCTCCCCCCCTGAAACGCGCCAGCGTCCGCAGCGAACAAGACTTTCCTGTTCTTCGCTGATGCGACTGTAACCCCTATAGACAAAGTTTATGCAAAAAAAATTGTACCGAGTATCGCTTCCTCGGCTCACACACCCTTCGACTAACCGTTTTCTCGTCGAACATCCAGTAGGCCTCTTCGCTTCGTGGATCTTTCGGAACACCCGAGCGCAGCTCATCAGGGAGATTCGGGAAATATCTGGTCTTGTCGTTCAGGATCGTTGGCCTGTTGTCTGGTACATTGTATGTTGCGAACACATTACCCTGAATGTGCAGTGAACCCTCCAAGAAACAGTAGGAAAAAGAAAAAAGCATAAAGTCCTCACCGATAGAAGGACGACACTTCCATTTGTCAACGGGAATGCAGCTTGTGGGTAAAACAGCACAAGATCGTGCAATTCTTTCGGATAACCGCGTGCTTCACTGAAAAATAAATGGCAGTTGGAACTCACTGAATTTACATCTCTGAGCATTGGAAGGCATGGTCCGTCAAATACCCAGGGAGATAAGTTAAGTGAAGGCAAATTCCCTTCAAAAACTGCCTATCGAATAGTTAAAAAACGCACTTGAATCTGACACCATCGTACTCGTAGCCGTAGATGGCTCTCTCGGCAAACAACAGTACTAGTTTATCGGACGTTGTGGTGGCGTTTACGAATCCAGGACCTCTGGGGAAAACCTGAGCAATTTATGGATTACCAAACTTGTAAAAAAGATAATGGGAACACTTGTATTCGAACAGCAGAAAAACAACCAGATTTCAATGAATTTTATTAATGAAAGTTGGCTGAGGTGTCATTTACGTTACATCATGCATTAACACCGGCGGGGAACTCGGGTGCTTCCATCTATCAGTCCTGTGCCGGATTCAGTAGAACGCACAAGGCGGATAGGGTGATTCGGACTTCCACACTGACAGATTGAGGCCGGGTAGACCCGGACCGCTACCGCCTGTCGGCTTTCCTTGTCCACCTAATCGCGACGAATCTCCGCGCAAGACCTTATAGTGAACAGGTGAGAGCTGGTATCTACAGTGTCCATTTCGCAGTTGGGGGTTGACTCTATCTTAGGATGCACGGAGGGAGGAGGAGGGTTGTCTAGGGAAGCAAAATCGGGACCGCGTTCTTTTCTGCTAGGATGCGAAAGGCACGCTGACACACGATAGGCGCTTTCATTTGGACTGCGTTCATACTTCGCGGCAGCATCCGCCAGCGACTAGCGTCCACCAGCGATTATAGGTGTCGATCTAGCCTCTGCCAGCGTCTGCCATCGTCACCCAGCGACAAGCAGCGTCCGGGAGTGGAGAGTATGGGGCGATAGGAGGGCAGCAGACAGCTGGTAGATTTTGGGGTGATAGGAAGACACCAGCTGTCTGCTACCCTTCTATCGCCCCATATGCTCTACCAGCAGTCTGATATGCCTATCTTCCCAAACTCCACTAGCTGTCTGCTCCTCCTGTCGCCCTATACTCTCCAATCCCGGTCGCTGCTGGTCGCTGGTGGACGCCGCCGCAAAGCATGAATGTAGCCTTACGTCGCTCAACCCCAGAAGCTTGTTCAAAGTTCAGACAAAGGGCCGCGACAAGCTTTAGAGCACATGGAGCGAAACTCCAAATTAGAATATGCTGGAACACAGTGACATGCTTCCTATTTTCCTGACAGCCCCCTCTGATTACCACATGTTTCAATCCCTTAAAGGCAGAATCTTATCGCGAAATCAGAAACCGCGGGTTAAGAGGACTACGTATCAGAAAACTCAGTAGTGAAGGAAAAGGGCGCAACTCGGATTGGTCTCGGGTGGATCCCAGTGGATTTCCCACGCTGAGGGTGAAATAGCTGGAATGATTCATCCTCTTTTCTTTGTCATTCTCAATCTTTATTTTATTATTCAACTTAGTTTGCCTTAACATGGAACTTATCGAACTCACACTCCGAATATTCTTTCCATTGTCAACGAACTTTCTGTCCTTTACGCGATAGACCTTGTCATTGTGGAAGACCACCCATTCCGATGGCGTCACTTCAAAGGTCAGCATTATTCAGATGAAATCGTATAAACCGCTTTCTTCCACCTTCTAGGATGACCATCCGCGAAACGAGGATAATCGTGCGGGAAGTGCCTTCCACTTACCCTTTGTAGTTCGGAAACCAAACTCCGCCCTAACGGCCTCACCCACTTTTCCACCCACTCTCTTACATTTTTTCTTAATTGTTTTTAAACGGTATGTCTTTGCACTTTCATATAGACATGCAAGCAGACAACGCATCTGACTCGTCCACCAACGCGGATAGCCCCGCCCATCGTGCTAGCTCCGCCCGCTCACAGGCTTGAGTCTTATAAGTTTTTAATCCTTCGTTTTCAAACAAATCTGTTTCTAGTATTGGTAGTAAACGCTGAAGTCACATATTTAGTCAGGCTCTCGTGGTACTTTTGAACCGAACCGTACAAACTGAAATCCGTCTTCGCTATAGTGAAACCCCTTTTTGAGATGAGAAAGAGATTTAGCCATCTTGTGCATCTGAAAACTTTACGAATGTAAAGCAGTTTACCCATTCTGGAAACAGCTTCGCCACCCCCCCCCCTCCCTTCTCCGCAGCCTAGTAATAGACGTAAGGTGCTCACGCAGAAGTGCAGGCTGGCACTCCCTAGAACCAATGGCCTCTGAACCACACCTTTAGAACCACACTTGGGAGTTGCGCGATCGAACTTTTTGAAGACAAACTGTACACTCAACTCCGATTACAGTCTTTGTCAGAACTGGTAGCTGGACAAGCGATCACTTTTGTCACTTGAGGACGTGCGGAAGTCAAGCTGAATGGTAGTGATTCCGTTTGATGCCACCCTGTCCACGCTACCACAAGGTGCAGCAATCACGTAGATACCAAAATCAAGCAGCGGAGACGCTCTCAGGGGTGGAGGGCATCTAGAAGTAAGGAGGAGATCGGA